CCCCAAAACCCCAAAACCCCATGATTCTAAATATATTGATTTTTGAAAAATGGAATTAAATATAGATAAAAAAAGTCATTAACTTTGTCAGATATTTTATATTCTTATTGTACTTAAACTATCAGATAATCTAATTAATAATAATGAAAATTAAAGAAAAAACATAACTTCTTCTACTGCTGCTCTAAATAATATTGCTCTCAATAGTCCTGAGCAATAATAAAGTATACAGAAAATGTGAAGAAATCAGTATATTAATTCATCCAAAATAACAATCATTTAGACTATTGTGGTAGATACAGAGCATTAAAAACAAATATCGCGCATCAAAAAGTCCCATTCTATACTTATCGTGTTTAGCCCTCATCTTTAATAATTGTGAGTATAGTCAAGCTAACCATATTTCTTTATTTGTATTAATTACTAAATTTAGACTGATAAAATTGAATTTTAACTCGATCTTGAGTGTGGAAAAGGAGATTCATTATACCTTTAAAATAAATTATTTGCAGAAATTGAGTTTTTCAAAAACGGAGTATTAAAACTATAGATATCAGATTCTAGGAATTTTTCATCAAGATTTGGCATTACTGACATTGGAGTTGGAATAGAATAATAGAATTTAAAGCGCATTAAGCATCTGTCATAAATAATAGAAAGAAAGGAGGACAAAAGTTTAATAATTAGGATTGAATCAGAAGATAACTAAGATAAATATGAATACGAGTTAAAATTCATCAGCTTTCGGTTAATTTAGAAAATTAATGGCATTCAAACAATGATTATTAATCATAAAGATTCACTATACTTTGAGAATAAAGAATTTTTATAGAGGGAGGATCAATACTACCAACCAAATGATAATGAATGTACTTATCAATTATTTCCATATCTGACTTAAAATTAGATCAAAAACTATTTCAACCTAGATCCTTACATTCAAAAAAATACTTCAACAGAAGGATAGACTAAAGAAAAATGGGATTTCAGAGAAAGCTATAGCATGGGTGTTTTCTTTTCAACACCCTTTATTTTCGGCATTCCTGAGAGACTTGATACCTTCAGATTAAAGTCAACAGATGGAAGAGGGCAACCATATAGGCTGGCAGCATTAGATATCTTTCCCCATGATACATATGCTAGAGAAGCCACTTATTCTAGCTTACCGTATGTTCAAGGCCATTCAGAAGAATTTGATGCTAACTTAATCTGGATGTCAACTGCGGAATCATTTGTTGATATTTATGATTTAAGCGATGAGATGACATTTAATGAAGGAAGATTTGTAGATTTTGTCACTGAATCTGGCAGACTTGAGTTGTATGCGTTCGGGAGTGCTACATTAAACTCTCCAAAAAGAGTTTAGAAGATAATGGCTGAGTTGACAGGATATTAATTTTTACCTCCAATATTTTCTTTGGGCTTTAATTATTGCAAATGGGAACGAGCTACGTCAGCATAAAGAATCATGGAATGGAATAAAAAATTCAGTGATAATCACATTCCAGTTGATGTATTATGGATGGATATACCTTATACAGAAGATGTCCGGTATTTTGCATTTTCTCAATATAAGTTCCCTGATAATTTGTTAGAAACTATGAAGCAAGAGGTGCATGATAAAAATAGATATTTTGTTGTTATCACAGATCCTCATATCTAATATAGAGGTACTTTTAGAGTTTATAGAGAAGGTTTAAGCTTGCATCATACTCATCAAGGTGATGATCTCGTAAGCATCTTTGTGAGATAAAGAGATTAAAGCATTATGAAAGGTTTTTGCTGGCCCGGTGACAGTGCATGGATAGATTTCTTTAATAAAGGCGCTAGAGAGTTCTGGAGTAGTTTGTACAGTTTTGATTATTTTCATGGAACTGATGACACTTTCCATATTTGGCTTGATATGAATGAACCATCTGTATTTAATGGTCCAGAGAATACTATGCCTAAAGACGCATTACATTAATTATCAGATGGACGGGTAGTACTTTCAAAAGATGTAAAAATGGCATATGGTAAAATGATGCTAGAGCCGACATATAAAGGACTTAAATAAAGAAATATGACAGAACAAAAGAGACCATTTATTTTAACAAGAAGTACATTTTTTGGTGGACAAAAGCATGCAGCTAAATGGACTGGAGATAATAAAGCTACATTTGATGAATTGGCAGTCTCGATATCGTAGTTACTTAGCTTTGGCATTACTGGAATCTAATTTATTGGTGCAGATGTTCCAGGATTTTCTGGTTAACCTTCAGAGGAGCTCTATGTAATGTTTTATTAACTTGGTATTTTCTATCCATTCTTCAGGTAATTTTTCATAGATTTATCCAAATAGAGCACATGGCCATATAGATTATTAGAGAAGAGAACCTTATCTTTAAAGAGAAAAGGTCAAGAAGTATGTACGCAAAGCTATTCACATCAGATATGATCTCATTCATTATTTGTAAGTATTTATTGTCTATAACATAGCTAACACAGATACACAGCTTTTTATTAAGCTAATACTGAAGGTAGTCCTATTGTAAGACCTATTTGGTATGAATTTCCTAAAGACAAAAGGAGCTTTGGAATTAATACCTAATTCATGTACGGAGAATAATTAATGATTGCTCCAAAATTGATTGGTGAAAAAAAGAGTGATTTCTCAGGACCTAAGACTAAAAGTAGATATTAGGTTTAAACCTATCTTCCTGAGGACAGTGAATGGTATTATTGGTTTAATAGGACTCAAAGAATCACCGTCGAAAGTTAATTACCAAAATATATTGAAGAGGATGAACAAGGAATATATATAAAAGCAGGATCAATTCTACCCATCAAGCAGCATGAAGGAAGAGAAAGTATAATGCAGGCGATTAATGATAATATTACTCTTGAGATTTATACTGACCTCAATTAGGAAGCAAAGGGATTGCTCTACATTGATGATGGCATCACATTCAGAAATGAGGAAAGAAATGAAAGACTCTATATTGAGTTCAGTTTTGAAAACGGGGAACTATATTATGTTAATAAACTTTAAGATAGTGAGTATGACAACTGCCAAATTAAGATAAGCAATATTCTAATCTATGGCTTACCTTTCAATGCAAGTGACTTAAATTACACTGCGGAATCAGCTAATTTCTCTCAAAATGAAAGTACAGAAAGTGAATACCCACAACTTAACCAAGATATTGATCAATAAATCAATAAAGAATAAAGCAATCCAGTCTAGAAAAAAATCAATGAAGCCAGATTAAATATAAATTAAGATACTCTTAGTTCGATTTCTTTGGATGACATCAGCACATTAGCTACTTCTATACTTGACATGATCGGTAATTCCTCAACTTAAGATTCAACATCAACTTAATAAGCAAGTTAGCAAAATGAAGATTCAAGTAGAAGTAGTACAGACAATTTTAGAGAATTCTAAGATAATGACAACAAGGCTGAGAAGAAATAAAATTAAAGATACAGGGAAGAATAGATAGCACACAGATACCTTGGTGCAAAAATGTTCATGACAGATATCAAAGTCAGAAACCTAAAACAAAATACAAAAACAAGTATTTTTTATATGAAATGATAACAAGTAAATCTTCTGGAATTTTGATTTACCTTAATTCAACTTTCATATATTTCTTATTATTCAGCATAGTGGGGTTTTGGGGTTTCTGACTTTGATATCTGT